ATTTACTTGGCGAGCTACATGATGATGCACATAATGCAGTCGACACAGATTATGCGGATGATGGCGATTATGAAAGCAACTAAGAGATTTATATAATATATAATTATTAATTAAATTCGATATAGAATATAGAGTTCTGTTTTGTTTATGTTTGGTTTATAACATTTCTGTTTATATTTGACATTTTGTTTACATTATAATGTACAGCAGTGCTGGGATTTACTTGCAACTTTCGCCCGGATTTTTTGACTCATGCCTACTGCTCCCCTCTTACTGCTCGGGTCTTAGCAACGCAGCGCCGGACGCTCGTAATTAAGGAGCGCGTCACTTAGTCTCAGGAATGTGCGTATCAATGTAATAGCGCAATACTCTAGTAGCAAAAGTTCTCACTAAAATTTTCTATTTAATATTTTATTTTGTATTAATAATAGAATAATAATTATTTTTATTATTAATACAAAGTAAAATATCAAATTTTAATGAGAACTTTTGCTACTAGAGTATTGCGTTATTATATTTGTGATAGGCACGTTCCTGAAACTAAGTGACGCGCTCCTTAGTTACTAGCGTCCGGGTTTATAGGAAGTAACTTCATATTTGTTATTTCTTGAACAGTTTTGCAGCGTGAACAAAAACAATCGTTTACGTCAAGTAAGTTTTTAACTAATGAATCTAGACTTTTGTTCATAAATCTAAATGTATCAATGAATCGCACCTCCATATGTATATTATTAATATCAGTATGCTGTTAATCGCGGATGACAACAAATGTCGTCAAGTTGCTGCTAAAATCTCTTTTTTGCGGGTAACAAATCAGTGTTAACATGTTGCCATCAATTTGTCGTTCTTAGATTTAAAAATCACATGAGTTCAATCCAACAAACATAATGCTGTCGCACCTTGTTCCTAGTTTTTCAAAATTAGCTGCTTCAACAATTGTTGGCAACATAACAGCAACCTCACAGACAGTTGGCTATCTGGGTATATTAACATTAATAATTTAGTATATGTATAAAAGTAATAACTCTAAAAATAATAATAATAATTAACATATGTAGCAACAATATATTTTATTTACTAATTTATAAGAGTGATTAAAGAACAATTAATGTAAAGTATTAAAATAAGCTATATGTTTTTTCAATAGAAAAAATGTATATTTTGTGCATATTTTAAACCATTGTTGAGAGCAAAATTCGATAATATATACAAAAAGTGTAAACAAGTTATAAATTTTTCAATCCTTGAAGTCAATTTTCTTACAGAAAAAACCTTATGTGAAAAATTTTACTTTATACTTTCGATTTATTTTTGCATGAGTAATCGCCTCTTTTTTGGTGTTGTGTATTTTGATCTATCTTACATTTTATTATCTGTTTTTATAAATTAGAAATCTTTATTTAAGTTTGCATATATGAATATATCCAGAAATAGATTGTCTAAATCAAGGAATTTGATTATAAATATTATTACTCTATGTAATTTATAAAACAAAATTCATTATTTGTATTATGATTACAATTTTCTCAAATACATATGTATATATATATAGATATATATATCACAATCATCAACAAATTATAATAAATATATAATAAATTTATATATTAATTCATGGATCACAGATAACAATACATTAATGCATTCGTAACTATTTTTAATGATCTGATATGTTTCAAAATATAATATAACCAGACTTAATCATTTGTTAATTTAAAAAATAATTTTTATTTGCAAAATTATGATACTTTTTAACAAGTCTCTGCACAAATTTCTTTATCATTGATGAACTTTTTTATGTAGTTTGGGTGTAGGAAACATCTTAACAAGAGTAATAAAGTGGGCGATTAAGTATCCAAGCAGTGCACCAATTATGCAAGGAATTGGCCAAGCTTGCCAAGGACGATCCCAATCCAAAGGATTCACGATAGCACCTAGCCATGTGCCCAATATTGTCGCTTGTATATTGGTCCTTAAAGCATTTGCAAGGATACTGTTCTTTTGAAAATAAGGTCCTATTAAGACATCCAATGTATTATCCACTCCTAAATGCAGACTGGTAGCGACAAAAGTTAAAATCATCAATGTGATTACAAGCATTGTTGTTTCTTCGTGATCAGTCAGTACAGGTGCACCAAACAAGACAATCATTATATAATAAACTATTGACAATACAAACGCAGTGAGCGAGAACTTAAGGATCTCTCTCATATTCTTTGTCCAGGATTTCTTGGCTTTTGGCGAATTTCGTTGTTCAATCTTAATAATAACAGGTGCTTCCATTTGAAGCATAGGAAACAGTAATTTTATCACTTCGGCGAACATTAGTATCAGTAGTACGGGTAAAAATTTGTATTTACCAACACTGCATAAATTATCATTGAATTTCACTAATGTCAAGATTCCGGAAAGATAGATGCAAGTGAAGGAACAATAAGACAGTAATAATCTCTGTTCCGTCTTGTTTCCAATACCCATTTGGCTGCAACGTTCGTGCAATTTGTTAGAGGATTAATCCTTGTTCGGACTCCGTAGTCTACGACTTTTTTTATATAAAGAATGTTTTCAACTTGAAAAAAATTACAACAAAACTCCATAGGTTATACCAGAGAGAAAACTGAAGATTTGTTCTTTATTGCTGAACTTTCTGCCCTAATGTACACTAGTGACACCAGAGCGTTCTTTATTGCAGTGCAACTAGCACTAAAGCCCGTATCAGACTACGCATTGAAAATTGAAGATTGAAGATTAAAGATTGGAATTTGACTAATCAGAACAAAAGGGACTAAAATTTCTTTGTCCTGATTGGTCAAATTTCAATCTTGAATCTTGAATCTCGTTCTTCAATGCGTAGTCTGATACGGGCTTAAAGCTCGTATTATGCCCGTATCAGACTACGCATTGAAGATTGAGATTGAAGATTAAAGATTAGAATTTGACTAATGAGAAAGAAAGGAACTAAAATTTCTTCGTCCTGATTTGTCAAATTTCAATCTTTAATCTTCAATCTCGATCTTCAATAATATGTAGTCTGATACAGGCTTAAATCGTTCTCTATTGCAGTGCAACAAAATTTAGTGCAACAGTTCACTGTACTCGTTGCACTGTGTTTTGAGGAAGAACAGGCAGTGCAAGAATCGGGTAAGTTGAATAAAAAGTTATTTTATACTTAAATTAATTTTTTTAATTAAAAATTTTTTTCACTTAAATATATTCCACTATTTTGATCACATTGCAATTTTTAATATTAGAAATAATAATAAAGCGTTGAATTCATATGTAGAAAAGTTTTTTTGCATGAAAGCAGCATTGCAACTGGCTGTAAACGGAAGGTCAGAAAGTACCTTGATATCGTTGGTAGAAAGCGGCGGTACTGGTGTATGGGGTGCCAGTTTGTTAAAGGCAGAATGGAATTCCTCCTCATCAATTACACGTTGACTGGAGTTACCAGATTTTTTATTTGAGAAGGCACGAATATAAGACCAAATCCTTGGAATAGGTGTATTGACATCGAGGGACGTACAAAATTCTCCGATGGCAATCCTTTTCTTTCGTGAAAATTCCTTGGAAACAGTTTGACAGATGTTCAAGTATTTCTTGACATTTTCTGAGGTAGGAGACTTCTTAAATTCTCTGAAGACCTGACACTTATGTTTAACTTCATTTTTCTTAATTGATAGGAGGCTTCCATTCATACTGGTGGTGAGTCAAGACTCATCGCTGAGCGGCTACGGGCGCCAATTTTCAATCGTTATGATTTGGACCGCTCTGGAGACGTGCTGGGGATTTCGTCTCTCCGTGACAATCGGCACTGCATCCATCGCTCTGGAGTCGTATGTACTGTGTTAAAGTGGCGTAAGGTGTGAGGTCTGAATAGCTCAGTGGTAAGAGCAGTTGCCCGGAAAGCGAAAGACTCGGGTTCGATTCCCGATTCAGCCACTTGTACCTCGCATATTTTTTCAGACCCGCAAATGTTGTTTTCTAACAATTATTTGTCGGGCTGAGGAAGTGTAAACGCCCTACACAGACACAACAGTGCCGCTGTCACGGAAGAGATGGATGCTTGGTTCGTGCCTCCTCCCGCCTTAAAATCCCCCCCTCGCTCACTACTACGCCTAAGCAGCCCCCTCTTCTGCTCCCAATTAATAATACGATCTTCCACCGTCACCACATGGTGGATCTAGTGGACAGATTACCAGCACTTACGCTGGCACAGATGTACACCGCAGAGTGAAGCGAGGGGGGGAATGTCTGTATTTCGCATTTTATATATCCGAAAATAATTTTAATGCATTAATTACATTATTGTGATTAAAATGACGTCGTAAAATAGTAATAAATAATATTCTCATGTATTGAATTAATT